ACTCTGCTATACAGTAGTTGTTTAGACTCTAGAGTGTACTTTACTTTGTCCTCGCCATTGAGTAAGTCCACTATAACTTGTACATATTTGTATTTATTTATAAACGCTTATCGGCAATTTTAGATTGACAGTTATTTAAGTTTTTTATTGTCAAATAAAAGTTATTTTTAATACACAATAGCATGGTATTCTGCCTTAGAGTCTGCAAATAAAAATCCAAAAAATAATGCGTATCAAGCCACTAAGCTTTTAAGTACTTAGCTAGGTACCTAACCTAATTATTTTCTTTTTTATCTTTTTTATTCTTTCTGTACTTATCGTTCAGTAGGTATTAGGGATCTAATACCATATTATACTAAGTGTTGTAAATTATCACTTCAAATGGAAAATTGTCAATTACAAATTGAACACATAGACTTAATCTTTATTTTTCTTTGTTAAATAAAATTTTCTCGAATTAWAKTTTTGTTGTTCTGCCAATTAATAATCAGTCAGTGTTGATCGTAAATGTTGGGAAACGCTTAGTATTTTTAAATTTAACAGATTTTTTAGTCGAAGCGATGGSTGAAATCGTTAAATTTAAAACAAAAAGTAATAGATTCCATYAATAAAACAGTGTACCTACTGACTACTGTGGATTCTCGTAGACGATTCAAAATTTTAATTAAGTTATTGTTTACGATGGAAATGTAGTATGATAAAGAATAAATATAAGTGTGATGCAGTTCCACGTATTAAGTAGGTAGTTACATAAGAATACATATTTTCTTATGCAAAGTTAGTAAAAAACTAATCATCCCGTCGATCACACTTAATAATAATGGTTTCTTAGACWGGAATATTTTTTGGCCGTTGTTCTTATTTTTTAAGTTACAACAAAAAAATCACGTAATGAAATACAACATATAGATACAAATTAACCATTTATTTTACCTCCTTACCGATTTTCATTAGACAATCTATACAACATATTTTGTTTTGTTGTTGAATCTTTAATTACCTACATGGCTACATTTTATCAYGTTCGTTTTATATAGTAGTAGGTCGGTAGGTATAAATATGTACAGCCGTATAGGTATATAGATAGTATAATGGGAGATGAACAATCGACCGACAACCAAAATACCGACAAGATATTAATTTCACTTTTAATTTGTATCCTTATTTATGGATTATGCACATAATGTATATTATTGACTATGTTAACAATASSTATATTATTTTTATAATGTTAATGATATTTTAAAAAGGGTGTAATACGTTTCCACCAAAAG